GACCACCAGCTTCCTGCTTGTCATTCGATTCCTAAGTTTGAAAAAATGGAGATTTCTGAAGAAGCAGCATTAGTGTTAGCGAGCGTTCAATCACCGAAGCCGGTTCACTCACCGCGAACGTTTGTACTACTTTTGCTAATCTGCGTCACACTTTATTTCAGCCTACAATTTTTCCTGGCGTTTTAGACCATATATGCAGGCCCACATTGCGGACTATGTATTGTTCATTGTGATTGTTTTACTGAACTCTTTCTGTCTGGATATCTCAGATACTTTCGTATCTTTGGCCAAGGAGTATTGGCCATGCTGAATGTCGCCACTATATTCACGATAATGAGCTCTGCACGTTTGTCCTGGGCAGCGATGTTTTACTTGGCTGGTTAAAACAATCCTTGACCAGTCTACTGTAATAGAAATCCCTCGCCACGAAACCGTATGCGAAGTACTGGTACAAACTACTGCTGTTCGTTGGTTAATGATTGATGACAGTCTCCGCATCCTACTCATAAGAGTCTTTGGACAGGTGGATGATTGTGGCATAACCGCAAGCTGAGTTCGTTTGCCTTGTCGATCTCGCCAAAGGCAGTGTGTCAGTCCAACACCTAGCTAGTCATCGATTAAACTATATTCGCTTGCTTCCTTTTGGCAGGCTCCACCGGCGTCAGTGTGTGCGTCGGTTGATGCCAAGCTAACCATTGATTGATCTGCGAAGTGTTGTGTTTGTGGCGAGAGTTATACATTTTGTGTATTGCTGAAACGGACATGTTCTGCTGTCGTGCACTACGGGCCGAGGTGTTACAGTGACCCTCTTCGCACAAAACACATACATGAGCGAAAAAATCTCAGCTCCATTCACTTGGAATCCTGACGCTCTTGATCGCTGCAAGGCTATTTTGCCTCAACTTAATGCAACCCGTAATTTCCTGGCCACCAAACACATTGTGTTGCATCTTCTAATGATGTATGCGATTGGTCTCGACCATATTCAAACGTGGCTCCACAGTTTCATTCCCTAGCTGGACCTAGCTCCAGCTGCAATTGTGAGCGCGATGCTCAGTGAGGCTACATGGGAAGGCAGTCGAAGGCTAGTGAAGTCGCACTGGTGAGGTTGCCTACTTTGGTAATAAAATTTATACAACTAATCCGCCCAGTTTGGCATTCCCGTCCACATGCCCGAGCTTAGAGTGAGTGGATCATCACAGTACCTAGATCGGCATCCCAACAAGATGTCTACTTTTTTATTCGGTTGACTCTCACCGAATGCATCTCTTAGTTCGATTGAGCGTAAGTGCAGGTGTTATGCAGGTTGAGGACAACATTCATGCACCAAACAATCGCTCTAAGAGTCGAAACATTACCTCCTAGGCTGTTTCTTGTTCGACCCCTATCACACAGACAATGGCGATCATTGCCATCACTGTACTCGGAACACTGCCCACGTTTCGGAAGCACGGCTTTTCATCACAAATGCACACATAGTGCTGTTTGGTACAGCCAAACGAATTTATCACTATATGACCAAGTCGTTGTCATTCGTATGTGACTCACTTCACTCCGAGTTAAACTTTAACACCGGCCCGTGTTTCAGTTATGCTGCCTCTTCATCCGCATATCCACCGACGCGATTTCCGCGGACTTCATTTATTTGACATTATTAGCTAGTCATATTTACGAACCTTTCCTTAAACAGTTCCTTGATGCTTTGGCCATTGCAGAGGATAATAAACGGTGCCCTAGCTACTGCATCGAGCAGGGTGGATGGCGGTTGGGATTTTACTGCTCAAGCCATCCCGTCTTATTCCCCCTCTTGCGCTTTTTCACCCTTATCGTCACGTTCCAACTTCACTTTTATCTCCCCCCCCCAATTTTTGGCCGTACCCCACCTTGCTTTGATAGGCGTTTAGCTTCTAGTCTCAACTCACATGCGAACGCGGAGCGCCACTCCTGCCCCGTCGACAAACCCATGTCCAACCAAGCGGTCGCGTCCAGTTCGTCGGCTTCCATTTGGAGCCCTCAATCCTCCCACAGATTGTCATGCCTCACTGTACGCACATTGTTACAGATCGATAAATAGACGGCACTTACACGATCATTAGAGATCCTCTCGATCGATATCTGCTACCTATAGGAAACCCGCTCGCTTTGCGACCCCCTTTAAGTGACATCAGCAGTCCTTTCTCGTTGCGCCTATCTGGAGACGATACATCTTCGAGTATCGGTCAAGCCAGTGTTCGTATTACCCTGAGTCCCCGGGCTGGTTGATTAGATCCCAACCAGTAACGGCATGTGTGTGGTTCGATTGGCTGGCTCGTTCAAAGCTTTGAAGTCGCGCGGGACTAATAAGTGTCTATTCGTCATCGCTGCCTACGCGCCCACAAACTGTAGCGATGATTCGATAAAAGACGACTTCTATCGACAACTGAACGAGCTCCTTCGCCACAGAAGTATCACGGACACTGTAGTGCTGGCTGGGGATCTGAACGCCTAAGTTGGAAAAATGTCCACTGCATCTGGGCGGCCAACATGGTGTAGGCTCCCGTAATGATAACGGTGAGCGGTTACTCCATTTGTGCGAAGATACCCGCTTATTTCTTTCGAGCACCAACTTCCGACGAAGCACCCGCCGGAGAGTGACATGGCGCCCAACAGCCTTGCACGCCGATCGATCACTTTGCTTTGCCTGTGAGACTGCGCCAGTCTGTCTGCTCAACCACGCGTCCAGCCAACCGAAGGAATACAAAGACCAAGGCTCGGTAGACAGGGTATATTCTACAGAATAGGTCAACTTTATTTATTGATGAACGAAATATACTAATTTTGGAAGCCCAGACCACCTACGCTTTGCGTCTGGTTCTCAGCCCATGTGAGTGAATTCCGTCCCACGGGTTTACCATATTTGGCGAAATGGTTCGCCTCCTTTGACGCGGACTTGTATTTGCTGGCCAATCAACTCGCACCTGATTCCCATCTTTAGCGGAACAGTGGAACAGCATACCACACCCGGACTGATGACCTTCACATGCAGCAGACAGCTCACGTGCTCCGCCGTAAGCCCGCGCGCAACCTCGTATCTGGACATTGTCCCCGCTTACCTCTCTATTAAATACAACTGTGGGCCACTGGCCACTTGTTCACCAGACAGGCAGATCCTCATGTCTAATCGCCAACATGGACATTGGGTCTCTTCGCAGTCTGCAACTTATCGTTGCTCGCCGGCACCTTCCGGCTGGAACCGAACACAATGAGTCTCGCAAAAACCTTCGTGCAAAACCCCGTGGTAGCCTGAAGAGATACCGCGAATCTTCATGGTCTCATCGTGCGTCAGAGAGGGAAGTGGCCGCTGCCCTTGGTAACCATTGGGAAACGGGCAGCAGGATACCTGGTGTTAGTGAAACTATACATGACCAGAGTGGACAGCCTATCTGTAACTTGTCAAGACGCTTGGAGCGTTAGGCTGAGCACTTTGAAAGACAATTTAAACGGTCGTAAAAGTCAGATTTCTCGCTGACCACTGATCGCCCTGCCCCCTGGGCGGTCCCTTTGGATCCCCCTTCTGCTCAGTACTCGAAAATGAGATCGGGCCGCTGAAGTTGAGTAAAGCCGCGAGACAAATGGTCTTCATCCAGCCCACTTAATATTTGAGGACCCTGCTCTTATGGATGATGTACACGTTACTAGTGCAACTGTGGGAGCAGGAAACTGTCTCGACTGACTGAAGTCACTCCGTTGTAGTCCTAATTTTCAAGGGAAGCTCACGATCGGTATGCAAGAACCATAGATGAATCAATGTGGTCTCCATCGTCTTCAAATCGCCTGCCTCTAGCATCTTTCACAGACTGACTGGCACTCGTTAAAGCCAGATTCGTGAAGAGCAAGCCGGGTTCCGTCGAGGTCGAGGCTGCATCGACCACATCTTCACTGCGTCAATTGTTAGAACACCGTCACCTATATTGGCGGCTCACCGTAGTCTTGTTCCTCCATATCAAAGGTGCCTTCGAAAGACGATTAACATGTTTGGCTGTATACACTTGTTGACATGGCAAGGAGCCGGCCTCAGTGGCATTTGTGTTGTGTTTCTTTGACCGTCCCCCTCTCACTTAGTCTCCTTCCAACCACAGTCTCATCTATAAGGCTTAATATGACTTTTTGCGGCACAATAGCCGGCTGTTAACTCTCCGGAACGATGTCCATTCGTTGCCAATGAATCAGTCGGCGTGTCCCTGTTGCACGCATTTTTTTTCTTTTGTATTGCGGCGCAATAGCTGAGGTTTTTTCCACTCCTAGCTAACGTCTATAATGATGATGATGATGATGCTGCATGTGTGTGGTTCGATTTCGAAGCTTTCTTGACTTTAATTGACTGCGTCCAGGGACTTTGCAACTTTTTAATCCCTGTCTGTTTATGTCCTATAAACATTCTGGAAGCCATCAAAGGTGAATTTTGTGGGCAACTCTCATCTTTCGTCCACCGATGACACAAATGTTGAAGTATTTGTCTTGTCGGAACCCGAACCTCGTCTATAGACTCGTCTGGAGGTCGTTGCGCATGGTATTGGTAAGGAGGATTAATCCCTTATTGTTTCGAACCCAATCTTCATATCAGCACACTTCCTGGAAGAACCTTCGCCTCATGTTGCCTGCCGTCGGTCGAGCGACAAACGACAACGTGCACACTTCAGTGCTGTAGTACAAGTGGATTTAGGACTCGTGTCTTTTGCGCAGACGAGTGCTAATAACCCGGGTTATATACGGAAATCAGGCTGACTGGGCTGAATTCCGAATGAAACTGTTTTTACTGTTATGTGCAGAGAACATGCGAGATCGCTTGATCTCTAAGTTTCAGCTACTTGGACTGCCAATGAATTTCCAACGTGTCCATGCGGTCGATCAAACCGCTTAAGATATTTCCGTTGAGTAGTTATTTTTAGCATGTGCACAACGCTGAGTTTGTGTCCCACTAGAATTCTCAGCAGCTTTCTGGAGTGGTTTGGGCTCGTGGGATGGGAGCAGCTTATGTTTACAATATTCGCGTATCGTTCCGACTGATCCGCCGCGTGACTTCAGAAAGAATCCCAATTAATGGAACGACACCTGAGGTAAATGTCGCAAGTGCGAAACATCACCTACTATGGCACGCTTCAAAGTGAACTGATTAATCCCACCCTCTCATGCCTTATGTTCAAATAGTTTTTCCATGCCCTCAATATCGCGCTTTTGATTACGCTAATCCTTACGAGTGGAGCCTTAACGTGTCCTACTTTACAGATAACTCATCGGCTGTTGAATCCGAATTCCGAGCCGCTTCGATACGACGGACAGATAGGTTGTCACACAGTTCACCGATCTGTGGTACGTTGACTTGATAATCGTTTCAGCTTTCCAGCTTTAACTAATCTACGCTTCATTCGTGTTAAATGCCGGCATTTGTTTAATGCGCTCTGTAATTTCGTAGTTGCTCTGGTTTGTATTTTTCCAGTGCATGTAACTCACTTCCTAATGCCCCTACTCCTATTTCCCATGCTCCATCCTACAAAGCACATTTTTTCAGCCTTGCAATTAACCGTCACCCTTCTTCTATAAATCATTTTTACACCAACTGCCGGGTTCGTCAGTTACATACAATACTTTTGTAATTTTGTTTATTTGGACCATTTTTGATATTCTCAATGCTACTCTATTCCATCGATATAATGTAAAATGTTCGGGTTACTTTACGAACTTCGCGGATCATTAACCCTGCCAAGAGTCAAAATTAGTTGTGAAGCCCGAAGGAGCTATAATTTCCTGCACCGGATGCATTATTTCTTCGAGTGGACTCAATGCCCCTATTCCCACTTAGTTTCACTTTTCCGAACTAATAATAACAAACCGTTGTATCCTCAAACGATTATCGTTATTCGTTCGCTCTTATTTGCATGCGCTTTGTCTCAAGGTCACCTCATTAACCTGCTACTGACGTTGCTGTTACCATTATCTGTTTCAGGCGCTACCCACGCTTTGCAAACCTTTAGAACCACAGCCACAGGATTATGTTAAAAAGTGTTGTTCCCATACTGCTTTTTTCACACACTGTGTGTATAGCCTGGGCTTATAACGAATTTGCATTAATCATACACATTTCATGCAGCGTAATTAGATTTAGCATCGTTACATAGGTTGATTAGTGTAACTGTGTCAACAGAAAATACTTATGCTGTTAATTTTCATGATATCGTTGAAGTTAGTTCTACTATCGAAATTCGGGATGATAAAGAATTCAACTTTGAGGCATAAGCAGACAGAGGTCAAACTTTGTGGTCCAGATACTTTTGCTAAACTAAATGCGAAATCCGGTGTGTTACCAACTGAAAAAGCGCCGTTTGAATCAGATGGCGCATGTGATCTTGATCAAACAGTCGATAAAATTGAGAAAGTATCGCACTGCCTGATAGCTTGTTGTTTGACGTAGTTCAGACGACAAGATAAACTACGACTGTACCCCTTCAGCAGTGTGCGGTCACATCTGGGAAAAATCATGGTCCTCCCTGCTATTGGGTAGCGAAATGACTATGTAACTGCGTGTGTTTTGATTTTACAAGTACGCTAGTTATCTATTGATGTGCAACCTATTTAACTTGATGACTATCATTCCACTAGTTCCGACCGCTCTGGAATGTCCTAGGATCATATAGGTGGTTCATCCCATGCGTCGATCGACGATGGTGTCACCCAAGGATTACAACCAGCAACCATTTGACGGAATGTGCTCTAAGGTTTTATTGTGGATTTTGTTCCGTTGTCATTGGAAATGTATGTATGGTTCCTGACACACCAATATCGGGGTTGAGAAGTTTTACGGATGATCTATCCTGCGCGTTACTGTCGAAAGGTGTCTGCTCAGTTTGTGTCATCACTGAGGACTCAAAATATAAGCTCTACCGAATCACGGGTAATGCTGGTCTTCGGTAAAGCACCTATTCCCATTTCATTAACGTGAATCTAGACCACACATGATGCGTATGAGAATACTCATTCCACCAGTGAACACGAGTTCGAAAACCGGACGCCTTACCTTATCCGTAACTCGGACGGATCTTGCCGCAGAGAAGTACACAGTAGGTATACATAGATTGGACAATACGCGAATATTCACAGCGCAACACCTTTACAGCATAAGGGGAGTTGAATCAGGTCTCTCTTTTTTAGGGTGCGCATTATTTGCATACCGGATACCGTCAACGAAGAACTACAGAGAATCAGCGACGCCCTGAGAGAAAATGCTTATCCATGATAATTAATGAGTCAAACACACAGAGCACAGCCTCAAGTGCTGGTTGATTCGACGGTTGGCTTTTGATGATAAACGAATGTTTCCTTTTATAGGTCCACAACATGAGAATCCTTTTCATAACTCTCAAACCCATCATGTGCATGTAATCGACGGGGAAACACGATATCATGTTCATATCTAGTGTCTCGAAACGTGCATTCCCAATATGATGCTCATATTGACGCGGGGAACGGAAATCTTTGGTTGTCTTCATGATGTCCTCCGAAGGGACCGGGAAAGCCGTCTGCCGATCTTGATGGAGGCCTATGACATGGGATTTCGAAATGAAATGTCAACTTACCGACGACCGTACATTTTTCGCACGAGAAGTATCCCGGATGTTGCTTAATCTGCTTTAGCTAAACTCTTACTGGTGCATCAACAACAACGCACTTCAGGTCCATTCGGACGCCAGCCTGAAGGAACACACCGTCCTGCAAATCCTGTATGGTCTGCTGCAGGAACTCATGAACCTCGATCGGCTTGCTGCAGCCCATTTGTGTAGAGCACGAGGGCCACCCATTGCCTGACGGTTTGATGTCACCTTCCGGTACTCATTGGTTTGCTACCCCAGCCTCAAGCCGAGTAGCCCCTGGTAAAATTGGTGCAAACCCGTCAACTCCCATCTGACCCTGGTCGCAAGTGCTTAACGTATCACATGTGAATTGTCCTACATCTTATAAAGCTGTGTCTGACAGGCCTCAAACAGATCCCAATGGGTTTCTGCGATCACACTGGACTTGCTCCCCACTGCCTTGTGGGCCAGGATTTTGGGCCAAAGGCTCCGGGTGGAGTCTCTCAAGCGCATATCCATGTATCCCACTGCCTTGTGGGCCCGGCTATTGAGCCAAAGGCTCCTGGGGGAGTAATAATAATAATAATGTGTCAGCTGTACGCCATAACGGCGCATCGCTGCCGCGCGACCACCACCAGTCGCGCGCGGGCTGAGTATGCCGCGAGGACGCCCATCCCTACGCGGATTCGAACCGGTGACCTTATGGTTGCAAAGCAAACGTGCAGACCACTCGGCCACCGGCCTGGGGGAGTATCTCAAGTGCACCTCCAAATCCCGCATTGCCTTGTGGGTCAGACTGTTGAGCCAAAGGCTAGAGGCATGGCACCTCAAACAAAACCCCTTAGAATAGGCAACCCTCTCGATTCAATCGACAGTGCTCCCTCTTCTTCAGCTTATTTTTCTTTCCCCTCTCAACTCTCTTCCCTGTCTATTGACTAAGAAACTGTCGCTGACGTCAATGCTGCTGCCATCGATACTGGTGACTCGTCCATCAAATCACGAGTCTTATTTCACATTGGTTCCTTTAAGCTCCGTACTTTGGATCAGATCGGTCAACAGGCATCACTGACTTTCACTCTCTCTTGGTATTCCTGTGTGCTGTGTCTCCGAAACACGCACACAAAATAACAGCGCTGTGGGGATTCTTCGATTCCCTGGTTTTGAATCTGACGACGATTGCTTCACTTCGTGTCTCTGGCAGTACTGAGTCAATGACTCAAGATGTTTACGGTGTTCGGATCGACTTCATCAAACATGGTGATGGTAATCTACTCGACTGGATACCAGTGAACAGCTGCATCTGTGCGGTTGGATTTTGAACCTCTATTTGTGTTAATAAGCACCGTATGGAATACAAGCTGCGTTCTCATCGCCTCCGTTTATGCTCCTACTGTCTGCAGTTCGGAGGGTACCAAAGACGAATTCTATCGATAGCTCTCATCTCTTCCTCGCATGGCGAAGAATACTGACATTGTGATTGTTGGGGGTGACTTGAATTCCCATGTGTGTCGTCTCTCAGATTCTGAACAACACCTGGGAAGGCATTTCGGGGTTTATACACGCTAAACAGATACTGGTGATCGATTCCTGCAACTGTATTCCGACCACGCTCTTTACATTATTAGCAATCCTTTTCAAAACAAACCTTCACAATGCCTCACTTGGCGCGCCAGTTTCGCTGCGACCATTGCAGTGCATCGCTCGGGGCGCTCACTCGAGTTCCGGTCCAGTAGTGTGCGGACGTTAAGGCACCCCATGTTGACCGCTTTGCGCGGAGGCATGCGATTGCGTTGGCGGACAACCGCATGAGTGGTGCGACCTGGATTGAAGGAAGTAGTGGGTTAGGTGAAACGGCGACGCGGATAGTATGGGCCGAGGAAGAAGAAAGGAGTGAGGTTACAGCAGTAGCATGTTTTCGCTTATCCACCCCGCATTCTCATCATCATCATTACACGTAAGCTGAAGGTAAGAAACACAGGTCAGCTATTGTGCCGCAATACATAAATATAACATACGAAAAATCTAGGTACTGAAAAGTATAGAAAGCAACATAACAGGTAACACACCACTTAGTAACATATTATGCGTCAAGAGGGAGATCGAGGTTGGAGGGGGAAGATAAGCAACACAAAGGTCACTGAGGTCGGCTCTTCGTCCGTCCGACACCAGGCAGGCAGTCGGGACATGCCAACCCACGCCAAGTTCGAAGTAAGAGATTTCATTCCTCTTGACTAAGTCATCCCTTCTCCTCTTCTTCTATCCAGACCCCCGGCGCGCAAACAACGCAGGGCGCGGGACTCAATGGGCTGGCTTGCGCAACACGTGGCCCAGTCATCGGAGCCCGGTGCGTGATATAATGATGCTGAGCGGTTCACTCACTCTTCCTGCAACAAATACAGGACGCCCAACATATTGCTGTCGCGGTGCTCCCACCGGGCATGAGCTAAGCTTCATAAGCAGCGATGCTTGAACGCTACTAGCCTCGTTATGTCTGTAGATTCGATAGGCCAGGTTTCGCAACCATACAGCAGGGTTGAACGTACGGCTGCATTGTAAACTCTGCCCTTTAGGACGTTTATCTCGACAAACACAATCAAAACGCGCCGCCAGAGTTGCTTGTAGGGGATCTCAGCGTAATTACGGAACTTGCATGTTGCAGGGGGGTTTCCGATAAGCAGCAGGTGTTGATCGATATGGACGTTGTCCGCTTTTTTGTACATAGACTTGTCAACAGGACTAAAGCGA